CTCCAAATAATATGACAGACTTTGAATATCTCCCATGGAAGGTCTCAGCCTCCCTGAAGAGCAGAAAGGGAATGAAATAGGAGGTCAGTGGGGGGGGGGGCAAGGGAGGAGGGGAGGGAGAGGGAACTGGGATTGACATGTAAAACAAGCTTGTTTCTAATTTAAATAAAAAATGACAAAAGATTCAAGTCTCTCCCTTCCTCTCCCCCTCCCCCTCTCTCTTTTTTTCTCTCTCTCTCTTTCTGTGTATGTGGGAGGGGGGTTGTGTGTCTTTGCTCTGTCTACTTTAGAAAAACTTAATGAAGCAAGACTCAGTAAATCTAAGGCTGGCTTGTGGACTCTGAATATAGCCCCTCCCCCCTAAAGAGATACAGTTTCATAGTGAGCTGTCTAAGAAAAAGATTAGAGGAATTTAAGCCCAGAGCATCTTCTTGTGTCAGTAAACCACAATAACAGAAAAAGGAAATGATGAAAACTTAGCAGTTATTCTAAAGGACAAACTTGAAAACAGCCAAAGATGGGCAATTTGATTTTCAGTACATTATTAATTTGTAAAATGCTGTGTGTAGAAAAACACTCATTTCTTATGACACGTGTTACATCATGCCCAGTGGTTAATCATAATATAAAAAGATAGAGCAAAAATAGCCCAAAATACAGTGGGAGACAGGTTAAGCATAGGAAGTTGTATACATTTGAATATGATTTTTAGATATTTGAGTATTTGTTGCATGTTCCTCCTGCTATATATGTTTGAACTGTTTTGCAATCGACATTTAGTAAATAAAGGTAAAAGCTAAATGCTTTTTTAACCTAAGTGTGGATTCCCTCTTTGCATTTTTTACTTTGCTAATTTCATGATTTGAATGAATTGCAGTAACTGGTGAATACAAAAAGAAACAATTTAGAAACTGTAACAGGCTTTTTCTTCTTTGGGCCACCAGCCAACTCCCAAATCATGGCATGGGGACTTATTAGTTATGAATGCTCAGCCTTATCTTACGCTTGCTCCACTGGCTCTTATAACTTAGCCTATTTCTCTTCATCTACATTTTGCCTTGGAGCTTTTTACTTTTATTGCCTTCTGCGTAACTCATTTTCCCTGCTTCTTGCGTTTGACTGGTAGCTGCCTGGCTTCTGGCCCTGAGCATGTCTCTATCTTTCTCCCTTATTCTCTCCTCCTTTTCTCATTCTCTCTCTCTCTCTCTCTCTCTCTCTCTCTCTCTCTCTCTCTCTCTCTCCCTCCCTCCCTCCCTCCCTCCCTCCCTCCCTCCCTCCCTCCCTCCCTCCCTCCCTCCCTCTCTCTCTCTCTCTCTCTCTCTCTCTCTCTCTCTCTCTCTCTCTCTCTCTCTGCCCACCACTCCTACCTAACCCTCTGCTGCCTAGCTATTGGCCAGTCAACTTTTTATTAGACCAATTATGTGCCTTCCGCAGGCAAAGTGATACAAATGTAACACACCTTCACACAGTTAAAGTGATATTCCACAGCATAAATGAATGTAACACATCTTCCTGTAATTAAAATAATATCCCACAACAAGAAACCGTTTTATAAAGTATGTGATTTGCTTAGGCAGGTAGTTTGGACAAGACAGCCCTTACCCAAAAATACATTTTGTGTATGTTTGTCAAAACACGTCTTAGAATGTCCAGATGAAGGTGATTGGAGCAGCTGCCTTAACTAACATGGAACTGTTGCATTTCCTGGTGGTGATATTCAGGTTGGTCCACAGTGAGGACTCTTGCTGGCATGCCCAGCACGAGATGAAAGATGCAGAATACCACTGCTCAGCTTCCAGATGTTGTATATCCTGAGGGTATTGGGGAGTGTTTTAGGAGTTCATCCTGGTTACTGCTCAGTGTTATTTAGATATCCACAGTGAAGGAAAGGATCACCTTCCTCATCCAATGTATAGTAGCATAACCTCTTTCCTGTCAATCTTCAAACTAGTGTTAATAAGCGTAATCATCGTTGTCTAAGATCCCTTTGCTTTCTTCAGCATGCAAGCTCTTAGAATCTGCCAAGAAATTAAGGTCTATGCCCTTTTTATGATGTTTGTCTTCCTGAATAACATAATTGAAAAACAGTGTAATGCTATCAGGTGCATTTGTGATCACGTTAAATGATGTACCCGTGTGGCTGAAGGTGGAATCTGGTCATCTTTCACCATGGATAATGGTTTAGCTAGGTAGTGTGTGATGTGCTTGCATGGGTGGGTGTTCACATGTGTGTATAAGTGTGTGTGTGTGTGTGTGTTCACAGATACTTGTGAGTGTATATGTGGTAAACATCAGGTGTCTTCTTCAACCAAAACCTATTGACACATTCATGACTGAGCATACACACCAAGTTGTAGCAATTATATAAGCAAGGAGTGGTTGTCTCTGGGTATCCCCACAAGAGAAGCAGAAGTATATTACAAAGAAACATAGCTGTTGGCTGAAATCTCCCAGCCCAGGCTCTGATTGCTATCATTGTGGCATGCAGATGCAGCAGGAAGGGCCCCTATCCTTCCCACAGAACACACACACCATTTCCTGTTAGTTCTGTGGCTTGGTCACTCTGAAGAGTCTCCCTCCCCCACTCCACCCCGTAGTGCTAGAGATCTCACCCTCAGGGCAGCTTCTTTCTGAAAATAAGACTTTTCCCCGCTTTGGTGTCTTTTTCAAAGCCACACTTCAGGAGACAGCAATAGGCCCCTCTACCACCGAGTGCATTGGAGCATTTAAAAGTACAGTTCAGCTTGGCTTTGTTAGTGTGCCCATTCTGACACCATGTCAGCGCCTGCACCTTCTCACACTGGCTCTAAGTACCCTGGCCAGCCCCCCTGGCTTGCCACTGAGCATCAGTGTAGCACCTCTCTGGTCTCCCCTCCTTGTACCTTAGAGATGCTATATATGGTCATGCCTCAGCCAAGGGTGTACTTTCCTCTAGCTTTGTCTTTTTGCCTCCATCTGAATGACTTGGAAGGTACCCTGAATATTCCCTTGCTGTTTTCCTATCTGTGAAGTCAGCTTTGTGCATTTGTGGTATGTAGTATGTGCTGCCTTCCCAGAAAAGTGCCCCTTCACAGTATTCACCTACAGCCTCAGTTTCCAACAAGCAATGCTGAAAAAGAAACACATCCCTTTCTGCCTTGGCCTCCAGGAAGCCAGGCACACAGTACCATGATAATGTTCCTGGACATAACAGGTCTCAAGATCCATGGGATATATGGGTCATGGCACTTCAGAATTTTCTGAGTGACTTTAATTCTAATTTAATAAATGCTTGTAACAGAGCAATAGACGTAGGTGAGGAGCTCTTTGAATCATAGTGAGAGAGGGTCATTCTGAAAGTTTAAAATTGACTTCCAAGATTAAGGACATCAGGAATCACAAAAGCGAAAGATGCTCAAATACATAAGCAGATACTACTGATGGTGGTTGGTAGCATTGTTTAAAAGTAGTTTTAAAATATGCACATTTGTTAACTGGCCTATGAGGGTTTAGTCTAAGTTCCTGAATTCAGTACTGTGTAGCCTGGGGAGAAAGGGGATAAAATTCTGTCCCTACTCTACATGGAAGGTCAAAGTAAAGCTTCATAATTATAGTCCACATTGTAAAGAAATGTTTATGAGCACACAAAAGCAAAGTTTAAAGCCGATATTCATTTGTATGGAAGAACATTTCCTTCTAGATTTGAGTTACCTTATTCTTCCTCTCTACGGGCCAGCTTTCATAACAAATGGTGCTCTGCAGGCCGCTATGAAAGAAAAGACATAAGAGCCTTGCCCAGCACTGGAACCTACATGTTAAAATACTGACACACCATGCAAAGTCTGACCACTGATGCATTAGTGGCATCAATGTACGGAGTAACCAACCACTTTTAGAATGCACTTAAGGATCATTACACAAGAGTGACTTCATACCTGGTATTACCAGCATGGTCAAAAGCACATGGCTGGGAAGGGCATAGTACCTTGAGTGGAACAAACTATTATCATTGCTAAATGTTTGTATTGTCAAATTTTCTCCTGAATATCTATGTTTATGCTTACAAATCTAGGCTGTTCTCAACCTTGATCAAAGAAGTTTTTAAAAAAAATTTTTATCAGTGAGTGATAGTCAATTCAAAGATTCATACTAGATCAAGGTCCTAGTATAAGTGACTAAAAGTGTTCAGCCCTACATAAGACATCTTTAACTCCTCCCTGTCTCCTGCCAAGGCCCAGATAACATATTGGAAGAGGAAGCAGAAATAACCTAAGAGCTGGAGGATGGAGAGGTGATTTGTCCAATGATGTCTTCTAGACATGGCAATGGTCATTGCATTCTAAATTCACAGCAGCTGTAGTTACCTGCACAAGACAGCAGTGACATAGAACCAGTCAAAATTCCAGCATGGATCATGGAGGAGGCTATGAGGATGTAGCCCTAACTGAAGAGCTATTGGCAATTGGTAGCTGTGAGAGGAGACAGAATTGTTCTTTGGGGATGTGGTTACCAGTAAGCTTGCACATGCTCTAGTGGATAGTCCAATCCATGTACATATGGGTAGTACTAACTGGATTTAGTGGGTTATTTTTAAAAGGAAGACAAGAATTGCATGGGAAATGTGGAGTAGGAGGAGGTAGAGGAAGCAAATGATATTTCATTGTATACATATACGAAACTCTCAAAGATCACATTTCTCAAAAAGATACACAAACATAACTGGCACTAAAAAAAATGATATCTGGCCAGGAAGTGGTGGTGCACACCTTTAATCCCAGCATTCATGATGCAGAGGCAGGCAGATCTGTGAGTTCTGAATTCAAGGCCAGACTGGCCAGAGGGAGTTCCAAGACAGCTGGGGCTACATAGAGGAACCCTGTGTTGGAAAAAAATAGCTATAGGCGGGCCATGATAAATTTCTCTTATCACCTTAAAACAAGTGGGAATCTATATTGAGAATGAAGGAATGGAGTCCTGAAATAAATGAAAAGGAAGTCAAGAGACATTTCCAATAAAATAAATGCATTTATCAGATTTAATGTAAAATATATTTTACATGAAATAAACTTCATGTGTCAGAGCATGAGTAATAAAAGAATGAAGCAAAGTTATTTTATTTACCAGAAACTCTCAAAGCAACAAAATTCCTTCTGACTGTATATTTTCATACATAGGGCATAAAGTATTTGTTGAATTTATCTTTTTTTTGTCAGTTAATTAGCACATGAAGTCATGAGCTACAAAACGTACTTGAGAATCCCCATTCATCTTTTTTTTTCTTTCTTTCAAAAATCTACTATATTCTAAACAGTCTTGACTTTTCTAGAACATTCTTGATGCCCTCAGGCATTTGCAAACTTTCAAACAAAGAGCTGTGGGCTTCCTTGAATCTTCTCTGACTCTTTCCATGCAAAGTCAGTACACAAGCATGCGCGTGCCACACACACACACACACACACACACACACACACACACACACACACAGATGCACACAGAAGCAATTCTCACAGACAGACAGTCATTGTTTTGAACCATGGAGAAAGCCCCAAGATGACAGCCCCCTTTAGAGAAACAGACGCAAGTGTCTCCTAGTGCCCAAGAGATGCGTATTCCAACAGAGAGGTGTTGTGGGTGTGGGTGTGGGTGTGGGTAGAGGGTGTTTTGTTTTGCTATGCCTCTCTTGTGTCCTCTCAATATGCTACTGAAGCCAAAGCTGCTTCCCTCCTAGGACCTGTTTTCCCACTTGTCATCTCTGACTCCCATTCACTAAAGTGTTAAATCACTGGGCCAAGCCATGACTGGCTGCCATCAACAATAAAAGCCACATTTACAGAGTGACCTTTAGTCCCCTTATGAAGTAGGAATAGCTATTTTGAACTCTGATTTTAGAGATGAGGAAACTAAAGTAAGTAAAATTGCAGAAAAGGAAACAGAAAACCCAGGGTTGTCACTCAAATTTGGCTGAACAGGACAGGCCACACTCTCTCAACTGCCACGCTGAACTCCCTTCCGTTTGAAACAGCTAATATAAACAACAAGCAATTGTTGCATGCTTGTTTGTGCCATTTGGTAGCTTACATGATCCTACATATAAATATCTAGATAAAGTCAACAAAAGCTGGCAGGCCAACTGAGTTCTCTGAATTTAATTTTTTGTCTGGCAACGATGATACAAAGGTGTTTAGGGTTCCCTTTTCAAAGGTCTTATGAAAGATCTAAATAAGAAGTAAGACATCTTGTCTGATGTCTCACTGAGCTTTTGAGAAATACCTCGCAACACTAAACTCATCCTGAAGCCAAGTCCCTGGGGCCTTCCCTCGCCTTCTTTCCCTGCTCCTCATGCAGCTCATCCGCCCACTCCTTCCACCTCCTGAGCCTGGTGGAGAACTATGCACCCTGGAAGATGTACTAAAGACTGGTAGGAAATGCCTTGTTCTGGAGGATAAATCTGCTGTGTGTCAGTTGCACCCTTGCTGAATGAGGGGTTAGAGTGCAGATAGCTCTAGGGCAGTGGTACTCAAACTTCCTAAAGCTTAGACCCTCCCCTTAATGCAGATCCTCATGTTGTGGTGATCTCCAACCAAAGCATTATTTTCATTGCTACCTCACAACTGTCATTTTGCTACTGTTATTAATTATGGTGTAAATTTTTTTAAAGATAGAGGTTTGCTCAAGGGTTCGTGACCCACAGATTGAGAACCACTGCTTGAAGGACAGGAAGAATAACAGACTGATTTCTTGTGAAATCTTCTGGGAGTTCAGGTTTTGTTTCCTCTATGATGACCCAATGACAAATCTAATCTTCTACCTGGGAGTGGGAGAGATGATCACAGAATTTGGTATTTTGAGCAACGGCCCTGTTGTGAAAAGGCACACGGATGACCTCAAGCAGGGCTTCAGTTGTTGAGTTGACTTGAGTTGAGTTCAGTTGAGCTGAGCTGAGCTGAGTTCAGTTCAGTTCAGTTCAGTTCAGTCCAGTCCAGTCCAGTCCAGTCCAGTCCAGTCCAGTCCAGTCCAGTCCAGTCCAGCCCAGCTCGGCTCAGCTCAGTTCAGCTCAGCTCCCTTCAGTTCTGACTTGGAGCTTTGTTGAAGACCAAGCTGAAAGAACTGCCAGAGCTTCTGATTCTGCTCTCCATGGCCTGATGGCTTTTGCAGGCATCAAGTAGAGAAGATTCTTCCAGAACCTCGAGTTATAAGAAAGTGAATTGTCAGTCTTCCATTTCAGAACTCTGTAGGGCTTCAGGAGCTTCAGGGATGGGGGCAGAAAAGTGAAGCTGTTGGCTTGAGGAAACTCGATTAAGATGATTTTAATCTTCCTCTCCACCAGCGCCTTGTGGAGTCCACTCTCAAGTTCAAGCCTGGTTTCATGAGCCAGGTAATTTTTGCTGAGGAGGATGATCAGCCTCCGACTTCTCTCTATCAGTGAATGGATCTCATCAACAATGGCTGGAAGGGCAAGATTTGCATCAGTTCAGTGAACTACAGAGGAAAAACTATTACACCATCTTGTTTTACAGTGTTTAACTTCTGGTTGCACTAAGAAGGTTTTCTTTAAAATTAGTCAATTTTGTCTGTTTTAGACACTCAGCAAAGAAAAAATAATAATCTATATAGCAATAAATTGTGAGCACCCACTAAGCACTTCCCGACAATATACCATCTTGAGTTTTGTGTGCATTGATTGATTTCACTAGGACAACCACCTCTTAGAAAGGGATTGTTGTCACCCCCATTTTGTCTGCACCACACAGTTACTCGGTGATGAGCAGACTTAACCCAGATACAAACACAAACAGTAACCTAAGCTAACCATAACACCCATTATTTTAGGCCAGAGGCAGAAAAAGCTTGTCCCTAAAGGGCTGGGTATTACATGCTTCAGATACATTCTTCTTTCTTACCCCAACAGATCACATAAGTAATGCACAAATGACCATATGTGGCTGTGACTATGTAACATGGCTAGTCATACATGACAAGCCTTGCTCTAGACCCCAGGGAGTTCATCCAATCCTGATGACAATTCAGCATTAAAAAAAAAAGAAATAAAACAAAACTTTTTTCTGTTTTACTTAGGAACTTAGAAGAAATACAAGAGAACAGTAGTAAAACTATGGGTCTACACTCTTGAAATAATGATGTACCTTCTAGCTACCAAACCCATCAGTGTGGCCTGTGTCTCACAAGCGTGCTGCACCTAGCAGGAGGTAGCTCACCACTAATCTGTCCTGTGCTTACTCTTCTCACTTCAAGGCGTTTTTCCCTTTCCAGTGTGTAGTGTGAGGGGAACAGAAAGCTAGTAGTTCTTTACCGCTGTATTCTCTTTTCAGTCTAACTGAATACAGGTATGGCACGTAATAAATGTGGGATGAATGAATGAAGGATGGTGACAAAATGATATTTGTGTTCTTTCCTCTTCCCCCTTCTCCTCTTCCTCATTCTCCTCCTTCTCATGACTCCCTCCTTCTCCTTCTTTTCCTCCTCCTCCTTCTCCTTTTCCTCCCCCTCTTCCTCCTTCTCTTTAGTTAATTTTTGGCATGCATATGTATCATGCATGTGTGCATGTGTACATGGGGTTCAGAGTCTGACACTGGGAGCCTTCCCCAGTTGCTTTCCACTTTGCTTATTTGGACAGGGTCTCGGAAAAGGAAATGCCTGTGCCTCTTCTCAGTTGACAGACCTGGATACAGAATGAAAAATGTCCAAAGAGAATGGCTGGAGTTGTTTTCTCAACATTTATTACTGTGATAGTGAAAAGCTGGTTAGTCAGACTGACATGATTAACTATTAACTAGCCGTCAACTGACTGGTCTCTGCTGCCTTAAAGGAATTTGGCCATTTGTATGTTTTTAAGGTAAACAGATAATTATCTCATTAAAAAACTTGTCTCCATTACTGTCTGTCCAGGATTGCCTTTCTTACCTCCACCAGGAACCACATCTCTTTCAAATATGCATAGCTTATACCCAAATTGTTTCTCCAGGACCCTGGGTAGCGTCTCCACAGCAAAAGTGTATTCTTCTCCATTTTCAGGATGACACTCTCTCAAGTAAGATACAAAAGCATCGTATGTTTTGCCATCTAGGGAATAAGATGGACTCTGTTAATTCACTGATAAGAAAAAAATTAAATAAAAATGTGTGAAAGTCATATATAAAGATAATATAATTATTGTCTAATCTCAAATGCACACCAAACAAACAGTTTCCTAAACATCTATTTTAAGCGTCTGCTTTGAGACTCCCGCCATGGAGAGGGGTGGGGAATAATAATCAAGACACTGAGACATATAAAGACAACAAGACACTAGGGAGCCCAGAAGACTCTCATTCCAGGACTGGGGAGTAAGTCACACTTAGGCTCGTTCATTTCATTCAACTCTACACACCACAACCTCGGGTTTGACCCTCTAAAGACATTTTTAAAGTAAAGTCAAAACAAAGTAACATAAACAATCCAGAAAATAAGTCGGGACCTATTGCTAAGAGAAAGCAATTGTTTGTGCAGAACTGCATGAATTGCATGCATGAGAAAACTTTGACAAAGATTATAGAATCATATGCTCAACAAAGGTAGGTGGCAATCAAACTAGCTAGTAACTTCATCAGTAACTACTTCCTCTGGGTGATGTTTTTTTTGAAATTGCTTTGAACTATAGCTGTTGTCTAGATAATGAAGACCTGGTGCTTCTGTAAGTGTTTTTATCAAGTCAGTGACAAAAACAGGCACCAAGAGATAAATCAAGTATGAATCACACTTTTCTCACAATCTAGATATAACTGACCATAGGAAACAAGGAGGTAACCCCATGTGTATCTATAGTGTGTGTAATATATCTTTGTTCTTATTCATGAAAAACTAATTTCCAACTACTAATTGATTTCAAATTTCCTGTTTCAAACAGTTCTCTTTATAATATATAAATGAGCTAATTTACATTACAACTTATTTTTAAATGTGGATAGTGAGGATTTAGTAGGAAAAAAAAAGCAGATTCCCCCTTTCCAAGCAGTTATCAATTGCAAATAGCTTCCTGGTTAGGGGTGGGACTTTGTGTCTGCTTCCCATTGTCACTGTCGGCTTTTTGCCTGATTTGAACATTTACAGGTCTTATATGTGCTGCTGCAGTCTCTGTAAACTCATATATGGATCAGTCCTGTTATGTCTGGAAGACACTAATGATTGAATAGTATTTCTTATCCCTAATTAATTATATGATAATTATAATAGAGATGGCTATTTGGGATAATAATGAGTCAGATGGACCAATGTTTCTCAAACTGTGTGCATCACTGGCTGTGTTTTAATACTCTGACTGATGGGTTCTTTTCATCTCTGTTCCTTTATAGCCCAACACCAAGCATACACATGGTTACCACAGTGCTGTAATGGCTAAAAAGTCTTATTGTCTGGACACATCTTCGTTTCTGCCCTTGCCACAGACTGTACCTGTTCATGGACTTCGTTTTGAGCAAAGCTGTTTAGAGCATTTTCTTGAATCTTTCTGTGGCCTGCCACACTAAGAGTTAAAAGTATGAAATGAAAAAATTACTGGGGCTGAACAGATGGTTTAACGACGGTGAGTTCTTGTTCCTTTTGCTGAAAACCTGGGTTCAGTTCCCAGCATTCACATGGTGATTTATGACCATCTATAGCTCCAGTTCCAAGGGATCTGATGTCCTCTTCTGACTTCTGCAGCTCTTACACACATACATACACTCAGGCATGTGCATATAAAACAAAACTAATGAGTTTAAGCAATTTTCAAAAAGAAAAAAGATGTGTAAGTTGAGTAAAACAAAATTGACAAGGGGAAAATATTATGGAAAATCAGAAGGAAAAAGGTTATTTGATGTCTATTTAAATACAAATATTAGTCTTTGTGAGCAGTCACCATGAAGAAATATCATATATAGACTTTCCACTCGGCTGCCTCATATCTTTTCAAAGCAAGATCATACAGACTGAGAGTCAAACTCCCTGTGCCTGCTAGCTGTAATATTAAAAACTGTAAGTGTGAAAAACAACAATACAATCTTATTATAATCTAAAATAATAAAATAAATTAGTTTATAAAATCCTAGAGGAGCTGATATGAGAATCACTTTGTATTATGATGTTAAGGGGTCTTTTGTATTCATAGTCCCAAAATTAGATACCAAAACAAAAATATATTTGGGTCTCCTACGTAGCCATACCACAACAAACAAGACAAATGACAACATAGGGATATCTACCCTTCACATTATAAATACTAGGCTAACCCCACCTAAGATATAAATAGTGCCTGCAAATAAGAAGGAAAAAAGAAAGCCCAGTACAGAATGGGCCAAGAGTGGATATGCTGAAAAAGGAGACACAAATAATTGTTAAATGAATGGAAAGGTTGCTTGTGTTTTATAATATCATAAAATGAAATACAAATTAAAATTACTCAGTCCCAAATCTATCAAACTGACAGAAATCTGAAAGTGATGGGGTGAAGCTATGAGGAAAAGTCAAATATCACCCTCTGTAAGTGGCATGTAATATAGCAAAGGCTAAATGGCAACACATATGGAAGCAGCAGCTGCACTCCACTCCCTTTTCGTTACCAGAAATTCCACGGAGGAAAACTTCCCTCTGGCAATACAGCATGAGTAGGAGGCAACGAATGCACGGTATCATTAATCACAGCATCCCTATGGTAGCAAAATAAGCAGGAGCTGCAACATCCCTCGGAAGGAGAGTAAATCCAGAGTAATGCCTACACGGAAATGACTTACTGAGGACCACTGGATGTGGGAGCATCCACCTGTAAGCCCAGCAGTTGGGAGATGGAGGAAGGATGATGCACAATTATAGAGAGGCCAGTCTGGGCTCCATGAGACTCTTTGTCAAAGACAGACAGACAGGCAGTCAGGCAGGACAACCCTAAAAGATGAGGGATTTCTTCAGTAACATGGACAGATACACAAGAAAGCATAGAGCAAAACGGAAAATAGTGACACAGGGTAACTAAACCAACATTGTTTTTTTTTAAGGCAACACGAAATAAGAATCCATGTCAACAGTAGTAGTAGTAGCAGGTGTGGACACTGTAGGTATCAGAGACATGGGCAGGACAGGAGAAGGTCTCCTGCTGTATCTTTACAAATTTTGAATTTGACCTCTATAATCTTTTTTCTATAAATGCTCATAACTTATACACACATAAACAAAGGCAGCAATTTAGGTTAACTTTTTAAAGAACATAATTATCTTGACTTTTGGAGATTTCTCATCACTTTTAAAAATATTGAGAAACACAGACAAATACACACAGTAGCAGCTAACAGTTAAAATTGAGCTTATTTGGTTTCTAACACAGAGTTCTTCCAGGTAGATTTTACAGCCTCCTTTTCCTAGTGAAAATAATGAACCAGGATGACAGAAAATTCAATGAAAACAAACTTTATTGAGTGTGTGTCATGTATAAAGTATGCAGTGGTATGTGTATAAACACAGCCAGATCAATAGCATAGGATGTTTAGGAGGAGACAATGCACAGACATGAAACACCAAGAGAAAAACATCTGGAAAGTCACAAACACAAGACTGCACAGCATCCATCATGGTGCTACATACAGAGTAACCCCAGACCCCAGACTGTGAACCTATCTCACAGATTGTTAGCAGTGTCATCAAAATGAGATGAAGATAAATGCTTCCTTTATTGGATTTAGGCAGGAAAACATAAAATAGGACGCCCTGGAGTCACAGTATGTTACCTGTTAATGTCTCGTCTCTTTCTGCCAAGCGTCTGTAGAATAGAACTAAGTCGACTTTATAAATGACACACAAAGTCACCACACACACTACTGCCACAGAGATGAAAACTGCCACGATTATCCCTCTCATAAAGACATGGCCCGGGATATCAGCCATCTCTGCAGGAAAAAAGACACACAGAGAAAAACAGGACATTGTGAATCAAAGAAATGTGGCCAGAATTTCCCATCATCACAACGTGGTTGTCAGTTTTGCTGTTCACTCTGATTCTGATATGTCTCCCCAAATGTTTCTATATTCCCCCTAGTTCTCCATACTCCTTCTGGTAGTCTGCAGTGCGGATCTCCTACTCCAACTTATAAATGTGTGCGAGGATACCCAGAGACATGAAGTCAAAGCTTGGCCACTCAGCCCATCTCTGTCTGTGGAGTTTACATTTATGAAGCAATACTATGCAACTCAAATCACAGTTAGTGGCATGGGCAAATAGTACATGATCTTCAGCTGAGACACATTTGACAGAGAATTCTGGGTTTCCAGTCTTGCTCCATCAGATCCTTGAGGCTTCTCATTCCTAATATCTTCAGGTGTGAAATGAAAGTAATAAATGAACTCCTGCTTCATTTACAGTTGCTGAAAATGGGACACTCATTCCACTGAATGCTAATCAGTACCTGGTACACAGCACTCGGGGCTTTAGAAAAATTCTAGACAAATGCGCTATAAGATGAGTCATATCCCCTGGATTGATACAGTTTTTAGTCACCATGGATAAACATGAAAGACCACAGGAGAGTATAAAGAATAAAATAATTCTTAGCATCCATCCAAGGAGGTGGCAATGGCCAGGATGGGTCCTGAGGATGTGGGAGGTGTCTGGTGATGAGCAGTGCCCAGGAAATACAAACATAGCCTCAGATAACTAAAGCATCAGGAGTGGCTCTGCTTCATAAACACATAAACCATATAACTGAAGCTCATGTGACCAGAGGGGACAGCAGAGGCAATCCACATGAAAATGAAACACAGGGACCTAGACCTATAAGCTGGAAGATTTGTCACCTTCTCTTGCTTTGTGACCTTAGATGGGTTTCTTCACCCATGAATGCTTGTTGTGACTGGTGAAAACCTCAGAGAGAGCTAGCAAAGTCTATCAAGAAGACCAATGTATCCCTTACCTTTTCTCACCAAGACGAAGCTTTTGGTGTCTGTAGCTTCCTCATTGGTCACTGTGCAATTATATAAAACATTGAGATTCTTTTCAGTAATATTCCGAATTTTCAGTTTTTTAAAAGCATGCAGTTTGCCTTCAGAAGTCCTGTAATGTAAGAAAATAATTTGTCAACAGGCTTTGTTCATGATCAGCAAATCCACTCAGGAGAAATTATATGTCTACAATATCTAAAGGAAGTATCAGCTGTGTCTTCCATTTCTGGTGTAAATTAAAATTAGGCTCCACACTCCTCCAAGGAGCAGCAGAACTCACAAGAAGGCTCCTCTCTCTCTCTCTCTCTCTCTCTCTCTCTCTCTCTCTCTCTCTCTCTCTGTCTCTCTCTGTCTCTCTCTCTCTCCCTCCCTCCCTCTCTCCCTCCCCCCCTCTCCCCCCCCCTCTCTCTCTCGTTTCTCGCTCCTAACTACTTGGAAGCCATCCTACACTGTCATCCCTTCTAACTAAGCCCAGACATTTTTCTATTGTGAATCTTTCATTGCTATAAGTGAATTTTTGGACAGCTGGACTCTATGAAAAGGAGATGTTTGTTTAGCTCACAGTCAAAAGGCTCTGGCAGGGCCCCTGAGCTACATCATATCATGGCAGCAGCATCTATGTATTTACGTATGGTCGCTCTCTCTCATGCTATACAGCCATCATAATTCAATCACAGGAACTTCACTGTTGTGATGATTTGAGTAAGAATAGCCCCAATGGGCTCATAGATGTAATGTAAGCTAGTTGGTCACCAGAGAGTGCCAGTATTTGAAAGGATTAGGAGGTGTGGCCTTATGGAAGGAAGTGTGTCATTGGGGTGTGCTTTTAGGTTTCAAAGAGCTCATTCTAAACCCAGAGTCTCTCTTACTGTTGACTGCAGACTCCTATGTAGAATTCTCAGCTACTTCCCCAGCACTATGTCTTGTTGTATAACCCCATTCTGCCTGTGATGACAATAATGGACTAAACCTTTGAAACTGTAAGCAAGCCTCAATTTCTTAATATGTAAGAGTTGCCATGATCATGGTGTCTCTTCACAGACTAGAGCACTAACTAAGACCACTCTCTAATCCAGTCAAGTTACATTCTGAAAGGCCTGCCTTCCTAATGACACAGTTGGTTTAATCTTCCATTCCCAATACATTCAAAAGACATTGGTGTTCAGACTCCTGTAGGAGTTCAGGATATGACAAATCTCATCCAAACTGCATCAACTGTGCATTTCTCTATGGTTAAGAGAACAGACTACACTTGCAGAAGACCTGAGTTTGACTATGTATGTCATGTGTACTTTTGTGACACGTTAATAAGCACAAAGCATTTGATATAGTTTTCAAAATTCAAAAAACCTATGGTCCCATTTGATTGCTCTTTTTAGAAGGAGCTTGGTGACTTGGATTCTGACTAAGTAGTACCTTGACAAAGCAATGTTAAAAATCCTCACCAAAGTTCTCAAGACTCTTCTTTCTCAAGCTTATATCTGTACAGTACATGTCTTCATGATCCATCCCCTTGGAACATGGTAATAATAACGATAAACAAATTATAATTACAGTTAAAGCTAACTTAAACATCCCATCAGCCATCCAGGAGCCCAGCCTCTCTACTGTTGTGTGCACACATGCGTTTTTACGGCATGCACCACCACATCTCTTACATGTCACATATGCATACCAAGTTGTCTTGTTCATGTCTTCGTGCACATTAGGGTTTGACCTGTCTTCTTTCCTGATGCTCCAATAAAACAGATCATTTTTATTCAGTAAAGCTGTGCAGTTAAGTTCCACATCTTTCCCTAGGTAGAAGTTGACAATTACAGTTTTGAATTTAGAAACTTGGTAGGAGTTTCAAATACAGTCAATGTGTGATAACTGAATAAATAAATCGCACCAAATCCAGGAGAAAAAAATGGAAGAGATGCTTGCTTCATTTTAAATTTTTAAAAAGTATAATAAAGGAGAAAATTATGTAGCAATGACTAGTCAGCACCAAGTAATGGACTGACTTCTATTTAAATATTCACTTTTAAATCAATTCTTAAAATTTAGGGGGTCAGTGCATTTTTTGATCTTTAATTTGGTAGACAGTGTCAAGCCAATACATTTTTGTAGCGACTTGAGTATATGGGTCTATTAAATAGGTATCTAAATTAAGCATTGACTGAAAATAAGACAAGAGGAAATATATTTTAAAGCAACTCTTTGTTATACACATAAATTTACCATTTATTAAAGCCAAAAGCAAACCTGCATGTCAATGATATGGTGTGCTTGTTTGGATTTTATGTGAGGGATATTGGCTGAATGATTGGTAAATCTGGAGTGATATGGAACATCTTCAACATTATTTAGAAATGTTCAAATTTTGATTTTATTACCATCAAAGCTGAGACTACTTTACATAAATATATAATACAAAATGGCAGAATTATATTTGGGATAATTTTAGAAATCTATCCCAATCCCAAACAAAAAAAATCCTCCAACAATTTTTTAAATAAAATTCAAGTCTGTAACCCAAACAGTCAATTTTAAAATTAAATACTCTGGCACAATATAGTCCAAGGGTTCAGTAATTTGATACAAGCTGAGGAATGACAGGTGGGGAGACACTAAAGATTTTTTATTTTTTGTAATTAAACAATTATACTTCTATAAGACCAAAAATCTTTATATATACAGTAAAAAGGTTGCACCTCCTTACTAACACACATACACACACACACTCACACACACACACACTCACACACACACACACTCACACACACACACACACACACACGTCTTGAACCTTGGAGGAAGTATGTCTGTACTCTTCCATGGTGATATATGCGAAGAAGGAATGCCAGGTGCGAAGTGTGCATGTTGTGTGCTCAGTACTGAGACTATAGTAAAGTTGGACAAGACAACTCTGGTGATTGCTCCTGGAAATATTTTGGCTTCTTTGTGCCTTTGATTTGGAATTTTCTGTCATTGTATATTCAGAAACCTTTTACTTTTGTCAATTTTTTCATGGCCCCACATTCACTTACACAGTCCCGTATGTAGTCTCAACTCAACACCTTAAGAAGTTGTGTTCTAGCAGCAAAAGTCTGAATCTACCATGACTGCAGTATTCTCTCCAACCCCAACTATTTAGATGCAAGGTGGACTAAATATAGCACATCTGCTTCCAGCTACCCCAGCTGAGTTCTGAGCAGACTGAGATAATTACGCATTACTGGCCTATGTGTCAGTCTTTCAAATTTCATACCATGGAGACAATATTCCTCTACCTTAGTTCGAGAATGTATCTCAAAATTCTCAAATCACTTAGCTTAATATCTGGTTTAGCATATGCAGATTTATTCCATTCTTTCATTGCTTTTATTTTTTTAAGAAATTACCTATTTGTGCACACTTAAGATTTGTGTAGACCAGTGGTTCTCAACCTGTGGGTTGTAACTCCTTTGGGGTATTCTGCATATCAGATATTTACATTACAATTCAAAACAGTAGCAAAATTATAGTTATGAAGTAGCAACGAAAATAATTTTATGGTTTGAGGGATGTCACCATAACATGAGGAACTTAATTAAAAGGGTTTGGCATTAGGAAAGTTAAGAGCCAATGACATAAACAAATCCTAAAGGTACAGTCAGTTCCATCCATGGCCAAATATGCAAACTATAGAACAAGTTCAAATTGTATCTCCATAGTGTTACCACAAAATTTTCATAGTTTGAAAGATCAATAGAGAAGGTTAGAAAAAAACATAGCAACAACCGCAGTCTACAAACCATGGGCAGTCCCACTGGCTTTTGAAAAGATGTGTCATTTAATTGGTCTAAAAGTGGCAATAGTCAAACAATGACATGCTTTTCCTTGTTATATAATATTCTCCAATAAATATATAATGGGTTGTATCAATCAACAGCGAGTAGATTTAGCCTTTGAAATCTCAATAATGGCCCAATTTATAATAAACTTCAGAAAACGCACATTGCAAAACATACCTAGTTCTACTTTAACAGTGTCAAACTTTGGTCCCAAAATAGCTGGAGTTATTTTACTGTTCCCTAAAAACAAAACAAAATAAACAAACAAAGCATTAGAATTACCTTGTGTGTATCTAGGACACACATCTATTGTATCTTGATCATTTCATGTAATAAAGATTTCAACATAGCACCTCTCATTTATCCACGATTATGTTTTCTTTAATTCAAGTTACTGTAAGTCAACTGTGGCCCAAAAATGGGACACAAACTATCCCTTTGTTTAGTGTATTCATGCATTATATACTACCAGCCCAATTATCATGGCAACGTAGTACTTGTGTTCACATAACCATTATTCTATTTCATCATGACCACAGAGTACAAAAGTAGTGACACTGACAATTTTGTTTCATCATATTGTTAAGTTCTATCATTAACTATTGCTGTTAATCTCTTGTTGTGTCTAATTTATGAACCAAATTTTACTATGGACATGGATATATACAAAAGACAGTGCATATATCATGTTTGATTCTACTCAAGGTGTCAGGCACTCACTGAGACTTGAGTGTTATCTGTGGGCAACTACAGTCATTGCTATATATTTACTTGTGCCAAGCTTTTGTTAACTTTTGTTAACTCAGCTTATATTATTGAAGTTTTCTTTTCTTTACATGTATGTTCAAAGCACTGTTCAAATGACTTCCCATCTAGTATCCTTTGAAGTCAAACATTGAAGTCCAAACAGGCTCATGCAGGGAGAATGCTGCCAGGCACTGAGAGGACCAAATGTTTAGGACATAGAAGATGGACAGCCACTAGGAAGCACCTTCCTACTCTACATCACTTCCCTCACATCTGCCTTCCTCATTCTCTCGCTGATATATTTAACAGAGTATAGTAAGACTAGGATGAGCTGTGTGAGGAACCTCTTCCCAGGCAGCAGTACTGTCCTTGAGGATGTAGAGTCTCCAGCCATAACCATGTCCCAGATACCTTACATGACTCTGCCTGACCCTGCTATACAAACATGTAGGCCCAGAACCATTACTGTCCCTGGTGAATTCTGGCCCTAACCAAAAGTATGCAAGCTTCTCCTTAACTCCCTTACTTAGGAAGGAAAGCTTTCCCCAGAAGTGTGCACACTTGTTGGGAGCATAGCATGAAGATCTTTCACCCATAGATCTCCAGGGAGGTCCTTCCAATGGGAAAGATGAAAAACCTGATCTTCCATCCAGAAAGCTGAGAATTGGACATGACTAACAACCTGCTGGTCTATGCTATCTGTTGGACCAGGCTATATCAAGCTCTTACAACAAAGACTGGAGGTGACTAATAACCTAAATACCCTGATAGCCAGAGGCTCCCCAGACTCTCACAAACAGGACCATAGGTGGCTAATAGCCCAAGTGGCCTCTATGCTATCTGTATGACCAAGACCAGACCAGACCCTTTGACCCTTACACTAGTACAGATAGCATAGCTGTAGAAATCATCTTTTTGGAAACAATGTCATGTACCTTGAGTTGAGTTTCAATGTAATTATGCTTCTTTGTGCAATGGGGATTGTATTATACCAGGAAACTTTTCACCAATTATGCTGGGTTTAAATACATTGGAAATAAATTGTTTGGTATTAAACCCAACTGATCCAGGTTGATGAAGTCAATCTGCACCAGGTTTTCATTCTTATATCTTTGGGAGGTTCACTTCCCTTCATGGCACCTGCAGGGATTCCCCCAACCCTGCCCCATATACTGTGTTAATATACATAGCCTATGGCAACTGATAACCACACAGCATCAAAAGTCTGAGGGAATCCAAGGAAGAAAGAAGCTAGATAATTATTTGCCTGAGGTCATAACATTGTAGAAACTATAAGGAGGAATGTATGAGATGCTTCAACTAGAGTAGAAGGTCCATCCCTGGAGAGTATGTTTCTTAGTGATGAAGAGTCTTATCACTTCTTTAAGGAAAAAAAGGAAGAGTGGCAATGATGGATAAGGGAAAGAAGAGATGTGAGGGTACCAAAGACTAGAAGATATGTACACAAGTTGTTTGTGTGTATGTGGTATACACTGAGTATGTATGCAAACTGATGCTGAAGAAATTAGAGCAAGTGATCATAGATAGATTGTTAGGTGTGGGATTCCCAGGATATAGTTATAACAGGCACAGCCATCCTCTGTGAGGTTAAGGCATCCTAGTGCCCAGATCTTGTGAGAAGCATAATGTTATCTGATGCTGTAGTTGGAATATACCCTATAAAAATCATCTGGAAATGTAGTTGCCCGGAGAACAGTGTTAATAGAAAGGCATGTCACAGGTGGTTAAGTGGTGAAGGTTCCTCCCTCAAGAACCAATTGTCATGATTGCCAAAATGGGATAGCTGTTATGAGAGTGACTTCCTGATTTAAAGGATGAGCCCAGCCCAGTTTTTCTATCTCACTCATTATCATTTACCCTCAAGTAGCATGGAGGTCTTCTCAGGGCGGAAGGAGGCTGCTCAGTAGGGAGTACTTAATGTGTTAGAATGGGACCTGGGTTTGAATCTCTAAAATCCATGTAGCAAGCTAAGCATGACTGCGTGTGCCTGTAACCCCAGAACTTAGAGAAACAGGCAGATCTTGGAAGCTCCCTGGCCAATTAGTCTAGCCATATCAGTAAGCTCCTTGTTTGGCTAAAGATCCTGTCTCAGGCAATGTGCAGAATGATAGAGAAAGGCATCAAATGTCCTGAACAACATAACACATCATAGATATACACTCACAGGCGGTCCCTTGGTCTGGGATTTTCCAGAACTGCTAGCCAAATAAACTTCTATGGTTCATAATCTGCTCAGCCCTTGGCCTTGGCACACTCTGTTCTAACAGAAGAATAGGTCCTAAAGCATTTTGGAGCTGTGATTGCTTAAGAACTTGGAGAAAGGGAGGTTATCTTGCACTATCCAAGTGGGCTGTTAATGTGTCCCCATAAGAAAGTCATAAAGGTCAGGCTTGGGGAAATGCATGGAATGATGGAATGGGGAAAGAAGAAAGAGTAACGAAGCAGAGAAGAAGAAATAATGAGAAGAAGGGAAAACACGAAAGACTGGGAGATAGTGTGTTTTTGGCTTTGAAGATGAAGTATAACACAGTCAGCCTCCAGATACTGCCAAATGGCAGAGTAATATATTCTCCCCCATACTTTCCTGAACTATACAATGCCACTGAAATCTTGACTTCATCCCAGTGAACTTAATCAGACACAGGACCTCCAGAACACAAAGTCAAGGTGTATGTATGATACCAAGTCTTGGGATGTTTTTCTGTAATCACAACACATGGACAGCAATGTAAGCTTCAGGTGAATTACAGAAGAAATATGTCACTAGAGTAGATGTGTTAATGTGTCATCCATACAGGTTTTCTGGATTACTGGGATGATGGTGGAGAAGGTTATAATTATGGTCATGGTCATACCACAGATCTTCAAACAACTGGAGGAACCTTCATATAGGAAGGGAACAGACAATATGTCAAGTTTCTGAAAGCAAATGAAAAGCAGTCAGTAAAAGCTAAAGAAGGTAAAATGGACTCTAGGAAAAAAATACTAATATTGTTCCACACTCAGATATTGAAATCTGTACTCAACTGTGTTGTGATTGGATAACGTCCCTGTAAGTTCCCAAGAAGATACTGATGTCAAGTTATAGACTGTGCCATCTGAAGGATATCTCCACAGAGTGTGATTCAGTTAAATTACCTCTCAGGTCACTGTCACCGTACAATTCTAGTTCTTTGTTTGGCTTATGGGCTCAGGAAAAATCAGGCTACATGTAAAGCTCCCCATCCAACTAGCACTCTGTGACCTTGCTTTGCCATTGGGACACCTGTTCTCTCTATGTGATCTGCTCATTCATGATGCTGTCCCTCCGAGATCCAGATCTCTCAAAGTCCTCAACATTTGTCTTTCTTTCAACTCTACATCACATCCTTCAGCCTCTATGACATCGTCTTTCACATAGTTTCAGGTTTTGTGCTTAGTGCCTCTCCAGATCATTACTAATATTCTTGAATGCATTGTATTCCTCACTGTAGTGTATTTTCTTGTGTCTTTTGCCTCTTAAGTACAGCTTATTGAATAGAGCCACCAATAAACATTTGCAACCACAATAAATACTGTTGAGTTAAAATGGAAGCTTAACAAGATTCTACAATTTACTCAAATGCTAAACAAGAACAAGCTGAATTATGAAAGGTTCACCCATGTAAACTTTCATCTGCTGCTAAGAAAATGCGTTCTTAGCCAGTTTAATGGGAGCTCAGGGTAAAGATTTTTAAACCTAAGATTTCAAATGGTGATATATTCTGTTGGGGGATAGTCAATCACACTATGCACCCTGAGTTTGCATTTACACGAATGAAATAAAATTAACCTTGGGTCAGGAGGCTGTACTAGCAACTAGCTAACAGAAAGAAAGCATGGAGCCTCAGAGGACATCTGGGAGAGATAGAGAGTCACAGGAAGTAGTAGGGTGGGGTTTGGAATGTCATAGGTTTTTCTAGTTTGTTAAAGTGGATAGAGGGGTCTTCTGTAGATGCCTGCAAGGAAGAGAGTTAGCTCTGAGCTCACAGGTTTTCGCCCCAGCTTTTGGGTCTCATAAGTGCTATTCATACTTAGAATGACAGAAATTTAGTTAAAGCTATCTTTAGTAGCAGTCACAAGGGAGGTGACTGCAGGAGCAGAACTCTCACCAGGCTGCCACCTGAGCAGCCAGGCCTCTTCTAGAGAAGCAGGCTGGTAACTGTAGAGATGCAATTGCTGCCTGAGACAGCAATAGATTAAGGTACAGCCACCATGCCAAAGTTAAAACAACAGTATTCTCAACCTCAAGGAGGTACCCTCTCTATCAGTAACTTCTCAATGAAACAAAGCTTCTGCTTTTCTCATAAGTATTTGTTTCTTCCAAAAAACCTTCTCTTACCTTTAATAACTGTTATATTGACGGTCTTGGTGATGTTATACTGCTTCCCATTGTGGTGGAGAGAAAACACACAGGTGTAATAGCCCTCATCTCCAAATTCAGCGTCCTTCGGGATCATTGGAGGTTTGACTATTTCCTTACAATTCTGGTTTTTTAAAGGCAAATTAAAATACTTCAAGTCAGCAAAGGTAGTATTCTTGTTGCAATCATTTCACGTTTCTAAATTAGCTGAGGATCTTTAGAGATAAAGGGAAATAGAACAGAAAACACATTTCCCAGCAACCCACCCTCCTACTGGGGCAGTGAGGTGCCCTCTTTATCATCATTGTCACTAATGAGGAGAGGGGTCTTATCACCACTATTATCTTGCTTCTCTTAATCTATTGTTCACTCACATACAAACATAGAGACAGACAAACGGAAACAGAGACAGAATACTTGAATTTTAAAAAGTCCTACTCAGGTGAAGACTGTATGTGAAACACAACTCTCCTGCATGAGACTTTGAGTCCAATTCTGTATTTAAGGGTGATGGCCCATGGGAATATTAGCAGAATGACTCTGGGGACTGAGAAGTTGCACACTCTTGGTTCTTAAAGTCATGTACCAAAGGCCACAGATGGCCAAATCCATAGGCATACTTCAATCTTTCTGTCTCTCTCCACATATACCATAGCAATCAATAATAACAGTGATAAAGTCACTGTCTACAAACCAGCTGTCAGTCACTCACTGGCAGTTTCTGAGAAGTGTAGGGTCTGTGAGAAAAGAAGAGCTGACTAACTAACTTTGACCATGTGACACAGTTCCCCAACATACCTAACAAGGAGAATCTAATGCTCACAGACTGCTTCATGCTGGCCACTGCTGGTGGCCTCTGGAGCTTGACCCAAGCAGTTACCGAAAGTCATGCAAAATGCCCACGTGTACTTCATATCAGCAAAGTGGGTATAAGCAGAATTTTATAAGCCTAAGCAAATTATTTCCAGTAAACAAAATACTAGAAGGTCTTCATTTTCAGTTCCAATCAGACCTTTTCTGATTCAGCTGTCTTGCACTATTCCCCTCAGGTAGGCCATGGCGAGTCCACAAGCTGCGCACACTTGGACTTGTGGTCAGCTGTTCAGTCATAAACTGACCCAGATCATATCTCAATTTAGGCATCTGTATATCGGGGCTTCCTAAAGCCCAGCAACCAAGCCTCCCTAATTTACATGTACTGTAAAGTGTGTAAATTTGACAGGAAAAGAGGACAAGTCAACCCAAGCCTGAGTTATGTGTTTAGATAACATTTCAGATAAGAAAAGTCTCCTTGAACACTCCTCACACTATGACAGCAAGAGCTACGAGCACACTTCAAGGAACTCAATGGCTCAGCCTCCTGGGGTTCCCCTGTCAAGTTTGCTCTCCCACAGACATAATATAGGTCATGTGTGTGCATGAATGTGAATGCATACACTGTCTTATACATGATAAATAAGAGACACAAGTGTGACGAGCTCCTCTATGGTACCTTTTTAAGGAGCTCTTACAACCCACTAAGGAAAAGGCTCACCAATGAAGCAAACAGAAAACACACAGGCTAGCCACAAAAGAAATCCTATTAGGTTACAGTTCATACACTTAACTTATCATTTCTAAGAGAACAACAGGAAGAAATGCTGAGTTTCTGAAATGTCTGTTGTCAGATTTTGACTTTCTGAAAGTATTATTTTCCACGTTGGGAGAGTATGAGGGAGACGAGGACCTGAGTTGGGTAATGTGTATCAAAACCTGATCAATTAACCATCGCTGGTCCAGTAATCCTACATCAATGGATTTTCATTAAGAGTTAATCATATAAGCACCCACAAATTTGTATAAATATTATTCATTGTAGTCTGTAAATAACAGTAGGACACAGGAAGCACACACATGTCTACTAACAACGGGATCAGGTAGTTTAAACCAAATCCATGCAAAATGCAGTTTCTTGTTTGAAAGAAAGCTGTTCAAAGGTATGGGTGAATAATCACATAGTTTTATTTAGGAAAAAAAGACCAGTGAGCAAACCACTTTTAAGGACAGATGTTCATCTAGGTAAAGAAATAAAAACAGCTGTGCAGTTAGGAGTGATTTTTCACTTTCTTCAGCTTTGTAAAACAAATTCATATATTCAGACAATATATGCAATTGTTTCAACAATTTGAATGAATATGGCAAAAGAAAATGAAAAACTCTAAACTAGCATTCCCAGAACTTTTTTTAATGGAAGGAAAATGAAGGAAGAGCAGATGAGAAGAAGTCGTCATCATCAAAGCACTGAATACCCACTCCTGTGCATGATGGCTACCATGCTGCACACATTGCATAAGTTGACCTTTTATAATAACCATGTAGGACAGTATCTCACACAGGCCAAGTAAGCCATGGGGAGTTAAACCACTTGTTTTTAATGAGGGCAAAAATGGTTCAGTGTCCTTTTTAAACTTGTTACCTTATACAATGATGTGTGGTTGGTTAGCTCACTGTAGTTAGGGTTTTCACATGGTATATCCAGAGATTTCTTGACTTCTACATTTCTATTTTTCACAAGTTTTTCAGAAAAGCAGCTGTGTTCATTTCTTTTGATGACAGTTAGGGTCCAATTTTGCTGATCATTTCTATAAAAAAAAGGTACAGAGGGATTTTATAGCTACTAGAGAGGTTTTGCAACTACTTCCAATCTACCAATTTTATCCTAATTTCTATATGAAGAGAGTTATTCATTGAGGTGAAAACTTTTCTTTGCCACCCCTTAGCTCAGATCAGAAAGTTTACAACTGTCATGGGGTGAAAGATTACATTCCAGAGACGTCTTGGAATACACACAACATCACAACACATGTGCATGCCACAGACACATAGCAAATATACTACCTACAGTCAGCTGTATGTCATGTACAGTAGTAGAGCAACAAATGACTTAAACTTAATCTTCGGCGCTGGAGAAATTTAGAGATGCACAGACCAGGCTAGAAGGGTAGCCTTAGTTTCAAGAGAACAGCCGACCTTGTCTCCTCAACATGTGTGTATATCCACCGTGTGTCCTGTCTCTCAAGGTGGTTTATTCTATGGTCTCTCTCCTTACTGTTGAATGGAGTTTGGCACAGGACTTGCACAACTGAGGTGAACTTCAGTATCTCTCTTGGCTGTGATTTCTCTTCTCAGAAATCAGCCATCTTGAAGACCGCAATAAATTGCATGTTTTTAAGCAACGGTGTTTTGAAAAGTAAAATCATTTACAATTGTATGCTTGTTTACACCATGCATGGGACGTATAGGTCCACATCCTAAAAATAGCAAACGTGTTGTTAAATTGTCCTGTGACCTGGGAAACATGTGTACACCAGGCTCTCCCAGGTCCCCTTTACTTCTATGATGAGAAATAACTCATCTGCTGCTCACTGACTCCCAGATATTTCACAGCGTATGTATGCAGGGGAGACTGATCGTTTCCCTCATGTTCAGATGAGAAAACCAAGTCTTCAAGTAACCAAATAACTTCCCAGTGTGGTGATCACACAGGTGTGTGTGTGTGTGTGTGTGTGTTGTTGTTGTTGTTGTACTGGATGGGGCCAGGATGTAAGTGCACATTGGTTTGACCCTAAGAGGCAGGAGTGGTTGGCATAATACTACATTTTCACCCTCCACGCAGCCTCGCTCTTTACCTTGTGTTGAACACAAAGAAAACCAGCCAGGGCTGGAGAGGGTAACCGACTGTCACACGCTGAAAGGCAGTGAGTAGGCAGCCGTGCAGCATAAAAGAACTCGGCCTTGGAAGGGGCTCACACTCCCATTGGCAGAATCCTCTTAAGAATCCTTTGACAGACCACATTGTTACCTCCCTCTGCAACTGTCAATTCCCAACACTCAGCAAATCTCGACAGTGCCCGCCGTGTGTGGCAACCCCTTAGAAACGCTGAACCAAGCAACACTCTGTGCTTGCTGGCAAAGAGTGAGCTCAAAAAGACTGCTGTGAAGTTGAGACCAAGGGAAACAAAATCTAGGATCCCCACTTCCCTGTAGCCTTTGACCATGAATCCATGCCATTCTGATTATAGCAGCCCCTCTGGCTGAGTGCTGTGTGGGAAAAAACAACAACAACAAAAACAAAACCACAGCTTTAAGGCCGCTTGCTTATAGAGCCCTTGTCAACATGTACATAATCTTGGGTACCACAATCAGCAAGCTAAAACAAGATGAAAGAAGAAAAGAAAAGGGGGGAAGAGAAAGGAGGGAGCAGCTCAGACAATGGGGACACAGGCTGTTTCTCTTCATTCATCTTTTACTTGCTCTAGAAAGATTCAGTTGCAACCAATTTATCATAATTATCTCTCTTAAATTGCCATAGGAACCGCACTGTTTTAAAAACAACAACATCAGTTCGACAACTTATTTCTGAGACTCGGAAGTTTCTGTGTCTCATAAACAACTATGACCTCATTTTGTGAAAAACCACAGGAGTGAAAAAGAGGCTTTGCTGAGAAATCTCACTTCTCTCTCTAAGGCTTACTGATAACGATCAGGATTCACCCTAGAATAGAGAGGTGTTTCTAAAAGAAATCTGCTACCTCTCACAGCTCAGTGGGCAACATCCAGCTAGCTGTAAGTGAGCTTTTACAGGTCAATGTCAAATCTTAATAAATAAAAGATGTTTACCTGTGTGCATGAACCTCGGGGTACATATATTTATGTACATGTGTGCTCTCTCTCCCGCTGACTTTGGCTACTAGTTGGTGGCTGGGTAACAACTATACCTTTTCCCCAACAACCCTGCTTCTTCTTTTCCAGTAAGCTCTGAAAACTAGACTAGGGCTACTCCATAAATACTACACTTTCTTTGAAGCCTGAGGAGGCCATGTGGGAAGCTGCCCCTCTTGCTCCATATCATTCATTCTTAAATCCTTGCTGCAGAACTTTAAAATCCACCTGAATCCTACCTCCACTTATCATTAACAAGGATCCCCTAAAAGGAAATCTCATTAATGCAATCATTCATTAAAGTCACTAAGGAGATACATACAGAGTGACTGGCTCAATTTTCCCTCAAAGAAATGTTTGTTTTCTGTTGAACTAAGAGCAGCGGAGGAAAAAAATACATGGGTTATCTGAGCTTACAAATGTGTATTTGGGTTGCTGAGCCAAAGCCAAGAGTCCTAGGAAATATGTTGAAACAAAATGGTTTACTCACCCCACTTGGGAAAAGTATGTTCCCTCGTCCTCCAGCTCAACTGGCCAGAATTCCAAATCGTAACCATGCAAAGTAATTCTGGGTGAGCTCTCAGTGTTCAGCTCTCCATATCCATGGGAAGCGTTGCCTTTGAACCATCGTATAGTGGCTGTCCCATTCTTGTGCACGGATGAAGATACACCACAGGGCTTCAGATAAAAAGGCTCCCCCTCTAGCGTGTGAATTTGTGGGCGGTGAATGCAATTTTCTACAGCAGATTAATCAAGGGAAGGGAGATAAAACAGGACAAAAGTGATTTTTCACCCCTTCAGTATCAAAGTAATAGCAATGAGAAAGCTACAAGAAATCTCGGCATCACATTCCTGTGCTGCCTTTTGTCTGAAAGAAGACCGACCAGAGATAAGACACTTTCAGAACCAAGATGAATATAAAGCCGATGGCTTCGCTAGACAGAAAGCTAACTGTCAGCACATAACCAGCCTTCGCTCAAGACAATGCACTGTGACCACATTCATAAAGTCTGATGCTTTGCAAGTTACTGCTAAGGACAGACACAGAAGTCATAGCGTCACCACATTGCCCCAAAATGTCACCACAGTGGACTCGCCATGGAAAAGACAAGACATCTATGTGTGCATTCTTCATCTATACCACAGCAAGCCTCATGTCCCTTGTGCTCAACCAGTCTTTCTACTCAAATCTAGGAAGGTTCGGGAGAGATAACAGAGTTCTTGGGTAGCTTAGTCCCTTCAGCATGTCTTCAAGTAACTAACCAAGAACTGAATAATGTAGAACACTCCTGGTACTCCATCTCTTTTTCTTTCCATCCCCGTTTCCCAGCTCAGATCTTGTCTTTGAAAAATCTATCCATTTTTTTTCATCTACACAGAGTGGACCTCAATTCTAAATTAGAATTGTTGAACAATTCTCAACCCCCTATCGTCACGGTCTTGAATGCCCTTAATCTTCATTTAGAAAGAAAATTACGAGCTCTTAAGTAAATGGAATATTTCCTTAAAACCATATACAAAATGTTGTCTCTGTAGTTAGGGCTTATTGCTCAGAGCAACACCCTGGCTTTAATTTAACACTAACCACAGCAGAAGGAGGAAGTGGCTCAAATGTCAGGTCTACTTCAAAGTGTCTGATTGACTCTGAACATCACAGTAACAGACTCTCTTATTTTACATTTTGATTCCCCAAAACAGCTTTTCCTTGATGGTCAAAACAAGAGTAAGTCTTTAACATTTCAATAACTTTCCTGCCTTTCAGAGTCCTGTGTAATGAAGTGTACAGCTCCGATAGTACTTGCCCTCCTGCGTCTCCATCCTTTTGCACATCAACTCTATGATGGCCATTCAGTTTCCTACAAGCAGAAGTAGTGTGTTCTTTCCTCATTATTATGTAGTGCTCAACCATGCTGCAATCTAACTATTCATTATATGCATACTGGGGACTTGGATTGTTGTAAAAGAATCTATTGGATATTTGAAGTTATTTTAGGTTTCCAAGTGTTGATTCATTAAAAAAACTTCTATAAACATAAATACCTGTTCTTTGATTGATAAATGCATGAATTTCCCCTTTGGAGATGGCCTCGATTTGAAAAACAAAATAATTGGAGGTAGGACATTGGAAGTCCATAATTATGAGGAAGCTCGTGTCTTAAGATACCTTTTCTTTTGTTTAGCATTACAGGCTTGCCTTGCTTACTAATATGATGCTCTTTAGAAACAGTCTCTGGTTATACAAATGAACAGAGGTCAAGGTGTGTGGACTATGAACAGACAGTTCAGTTCTTCCATGGAAAAAGTCAGAGGTTTAAAGCGTCCTAAGTAGAATGCCTCCCTGGGGAGTGGAGACAGAATGGAGTGGAGGATGGTGGAGGGCCAGGGAAGAGGGAAGGGAAAAGAGCTGGGATTGACATGTGAAGCAGGCTTGTTTCTAATTTAAATAAAAAATTATAAAGTGTCCTAAGTAGAAAACTGTGAGAGGCCAGCACCAACAAGTCAGATGAAATCCACACATAGAATATTGCTGCATATGGCTACAATCCAATTCCTGAAAGGCATTCTCTAGGCCCCCAGAGGAAGAGGGAGCTAGAACCTGAGCCCCAGAACCAACAGTTTTGTGCCAAGACTGTGTTTCACAGCAATCAGAATCAGGTGGTTTATCTATGAAGCATGGGACAGAAGACACACATTTTCCTCTACAATCCTGATAAATCACTTCATACCAAGGAGAGAAGAATGAGTAATCTTCATCATTTAGGTAGCATTGCACTGTGTGGTAGGTAGCATCCAACAAGGCATGGGTCCATTCACAAGCACACCTCGAGACTGGACATGCATTAAGAAAGTAGTAAGAGCTAATCTCTGTTTTCCTTCCATGGGGATTCCCAAAGTAAGGGATATGGGCCCCAGTGTTCTCTTCGGTGGCTAACATTCTGAAAAATAATTAACTGGCTTGCTCCCTTTCTCTTCCAAGTCCTGTGCAAATGGCCCTCAGTTGTGAAACTTCTCTCCAAAGAATAGGATCTACAAATCCTTCCCCATGAGGCAGAGTATCAAACAACCACGGCTAATAAATTACAGCTGATGTTTGGCTTGCTCTGATGCCTGCTTTAGCTTCTAGTCCAGCCAGTCTCTTTCTTATATTTTCTTGCAATTGAGTGATTTCTAAGATTTGGAAAGGATTTTCTATTTATTTCCTTTTGAATTTCTTGTTTAAAATGAGTGGATTCTTGCTATCCTCTCAGGAAAGAGAAAATGTATGATATTGCCTAAAACAAATAAAAAGACAATTGTTTTCTTCTTCTATTTCAAACTAAATGAAGCAATTTTCTTCCAAAGTATAGTTTATATGTTCTGACTCTCTGGTGTCACTGTATACCTTTCTTTAGCACATTCCCTCTATCCCAGGAACACCAAATATTTCCCAGCCTTATAAAGTACAACTTGAAGTCACTAAATGTTAAATAAATTCAACATCTTCAGGAACCATATCAGTTCTAAAGAAAGAAAGCCTCCATAATTTCCCTCTAGCTTTCTAGTGATGTCTATTAGTGAATGTTTATAAATCACTTACTTGAGGCATTTTTAACAATGAGAACACAGAGTATCAAGAATAGTTCTCCACAATGCATGGTTAGGCTTCTGCTTCAACTGGTGTCCCTAGATGAAGAATAATATAAATTTAAACTTAAGCCCTCAAACAAACCAATTTCACATTTAAAAGGAAGTTTAAACTCTCCTACACATAAACAAAAAGCAGTCCAGCAATGTTTCATATCTCTTATATAGGCACCAATTTGCTAAGCTTTTAGTGACACAGAATAAATGAATTTTAAGGCAATAAATTTTAGCTTCCATAAAGCTTAATTATTTAGCATTTTTAATAGAGTAGAGCCCTTGAATTTTAGCTTGATACACCATATCTTGCCCTCTGCATCAAAGTAAAAGTCTAAATTCCATTGTTTTTTTCCACTGAGTGTAGATGTACCACATTTTCTCTATCCACTCTTCAGTTGAGGGGCATCTAGGTTGATTCCAGATTCTGGATACTACAAATAATGCTGCTATGAACATGGTTGAACAGATGTCCTTGTTGTATGATGTGCATCTTTTGGGTATATGCCTAAGAGTGGAATTGCTTGATCTTGTGGTAGACTGATTCCCATTTTTCTGAGGAACTGCCATACTAATTTCCAAAGTGGATGTACGAGTTGGCAATCCCACCAGCAGTGGAAGAGTGTTCTCCTTTCTCCACATCCTTTCCAGCATAAACTGTCATTGGTGTTTTTGGTTTTAGCCATTCTGACAGGAGTGAGATGGTATCTCAGAGTTGTTTTTATTTGCATTTCCCTGATGGCTAAGAATGTTGAGCACTTTCTTAACTGTCTATTGGTCATTTTATCTTGAAACTTGCAGGCAAATGGATGACACTAGAAGAAATCATCCTGAGTGAGGTAACCCAGTCACAAAAAGACAAACATGGCATGTACTCATTCATATACGAATTTTAGACATGGAACATGGGAGTGCCAGCCTACAACCCACACCGCCAGAGACGCTGGGAAACAGTGAAGACCCTAAGAGAGATGAGCATGGTACCCTGGATAAGGGGAAGGGGACAGGATCTCTTTAGTGGCTTGGGAGCATGAGGGAATGAGAGAGGGAGCTGGAAGAAGGAGAGAGGGAAAAGAGGAAGGGAGGGGGAGGAAATGGGGGAACAGGAAGTTTGAATCAGGGGAAGAATAAAAGAGAGCAGGATGAGAGATACCATAATAGTCATAAGTTTGGGGAGAGATCTGGCACTAGGGAGATTTCCGGAGATCTACAAGGATGACACCAACTGACAACCTAAGCAATAGTAGAGAGGGTACCTTAAATGCCCTTCCCCTACCATGAGATTGTTAACTATATGTCATCCTAGAGCCTTCATCCAGTGGCTGATGGAAGCATAGGCAGACACCCACAGCTAAACACTGAACTGAACTGAGGAGTGATGGGCAAGGGGGTCAAGAACGGACTGGTGAAACCCACAGAAGCAAGTGACCTGAACAAGGGAGGGACTCATGAACCCCAGATGGATAGCTGAGAGGCCTGCGTGGGACTGATCCAGATCCCCGGATTGTGGATGTCAGTGGAGAGGCCTCGGCAATCTATGGACCTCTGGTAGGGGATCACTATTTATCCCTGGTGTACGAATGGACTTTGGGAGCCCATTGCATGTGGAGGTATGTGCCCTCTGTCTGGACACATGGGGGATGGCCTGGTTCCTGCCCAGAATGATATGACAGACTTTTGGGATCCCCCATGGAGTGCCTCACCCTCCTTGGGGAGCCCAAGGAAGATGGGATGGGAGACTGGTGGGGGCATGGGAGGATGGAAGGGAGAGGGAGCTGGGATTGACATATGAAGTGTACTTGTTTCTAATTTAAATAAAAAATAAATAAATAACAAAGTAAAAGTCTATAAAAAACTATGATTCTACAGATTAAACAATCCGTGGCATATTGAAGAATGCAGTCCACCTACGCAGGTATATGTATGTGTATGCATGTGTGTGTGCGTGTGTGTGTGTGTGTGTGTGTGTGTGTGTGTGTGTGAAAGAGAGAGAGAGAGAGAGAGAGAGAGAGAGAGAGAGAGAGGGAGAGCGCGAGAGATTCCTTAACTGTCCTAGGTATGTGAGTTAATCACCTCATAAAGAGAAAATACTCACTTTGACCCAGAATTTCGGAAACTTCTGGCAAGTTTTATAAGTCTGAGAATTATGTTGTCCTGCCTGTCGGTAAAACTTGCACAATGTCTGGTACACAGTAACCACTGTTGCTGAAGAAGAGGTGTGTGGGCCTGGGGCATGAGTCAGCACGGGCTGCCCCAGTGTGTTTCCTTTAGGGAAATGGAGAAAGTAATAGGTCCCAGGAGTTACACTGATCCTCCTTACGCTGGCTGTGACCCCAGGTCCCTGATCTTGCTGCTCTGAACTTTGATCCTAGAACAACCCAACCTTTCCCTTTCTAATTATGAACAATGATGAGAGTAGAAAAGAGTAAGGCACTTCCTTGGCGGAGCCGTGCATTAAGTCTAAATATTCCACAAATAATCCCACACCTCTTGTTCAGTGTAAAGCCTACCACCTCCACCCCACTGCCTCAAAAGAATACTGCTCACACAGAACACAGCAGGGCATGAAGAGGTTGGTTTCTTTCAGAGGCAAACAAACCTGACTAGAATCCAAGTCTGATAGAACTCAGGGAACTATGGACCTTGGGCAAAGAAAATAAGTAGCTCAAGAACTGTTGGCTCATTGCCAAAACACAGAGGGTAAAGCAGCTTCCTCTAGGGTCATGGAGGGATCACAGTACCTACTGCTAATGAAGACTTCTGCATGAATGACAACCTCATAACCTAGAGCAATACCCCAACTGCCACTCACTTCCCATCCTCACTAGTCAATCACAGGAGAAGACTTCCGTGATAAAGCTACCAAAAACATCTACCAATTTGCAAGGGATGATAAAGTATAAAATATATATACTGGATATAAAATATATACTGGATATAAATATATACTGATACATACTGAAAAGCATAAAAACAAAAAAAGGACATTTGTTCATGGAAAGTACCAACCGTTCAGAGTCAAACTAGAACAATGTACCAGTCACCTACTATCAGACCTTCTATTACTGTCTAATAGTCCTGTCTCAGATGGAATATGATGTGTGACTTCCTCTGTGCCATTTCTGCAACTAAGGCTGTCACAGACTAGCAAGAGAAACTAATCTTTCTTTTTCCTTTTAAATTTTAAGCCCTAACAAGAAATAAAATTACAGCCCGGTAGTGGTGGTGGCACATGCCTTTAATCCCAGCACTTGGGAGGCAGAGGCAGGTGGATCTCTGTGAGTTGGAGACCAGCCTGGTCTACAAGAGCTAGTTCCAAGAAAACCTCCAAAGCCACAGAGAAACCCTGTCTTGAACCCACCCCAAAAAGAGATAAAATTACATAATTATTCAGCATCCTGAAAAGCTACTAGTTTTCCATGTGAGACATGTTAAGACCTCAGTATATACAAAATAGATGCTATCCACACAGTTATGTGAATGGGAATGTGTATAGTACTTGAATATTCTACTGTACTTCTTAAGTTGTATGTGGGCATTTAAGAAACTGGTGTTTTGCTAACTACCAAATTCACTTACAGACAAAAAAAGAGCTATTCTGAGAAGTGGTGTCACGACCTGCCAGCTAGCCAAACAATGATAAAGCAGATGTAGGAGGACAGGACACTACATTTTTTTGCATGTAGGAATTTTAAAGGCTGTTAGAGTTTTGTGTTTGTTGGTTTTGAGGTTTTTGTTTTGTTTTTGCTTTTCAGTAACCTTGAAGTATCTTTCTTTCCTTCATTAAGTTTTTTTCCCTAATTTGTAAAGCAGTGTCTGTCAGTGTAGAATATTTCCAAAACAAAGACTGAAAATAGAAGATAGTCTCAACATGCATAGTCCTTTGTATACTTCTGGTACTTTTTGGATACATTTACAAACAATGAAATGATGTCTAATTAGTTTCGTGTCTTGAATTTCCTCTGGATAATTAAGCACTGAAGTTTTTTCTACCTTACACTTTGTTCTTGCTATTCTAATTACTGCCTCAGATCCCGCCGTGTGCAGGTCCTATGACTTACAAAATCAACTATTTTACGCAATAACCCATGGCCAGCTTCACTCACAGGCAGGATAGCTCAGTTTTATAGAGCTCTACTGTTGGCACAAGCCTGGCTGGATCTGACTCTTCATTCTTCACGTTACCAGCATAACAATCATGGGCAGGGCACATAGCCAACCTGTACTCTGAGTCCTTTATGCATAGAAGGGAATGACAGTTCTACTTCCCAGAGCTGATGGGGTGCCTACAAGTGTTCCTCCTCAAAAAAAAATCCAGAGAATAGTAAAAGTGTCATCTAAGTGTTGGCTGTCACCCTTGTTTTTATTTCTTATCGTTTCATTGGTGTTATGATATGGCGGCACCATGAAGGAGGCCAAGGCAAGAAGAATGCATGCTGCCCAACCACATTCCAGGAAGCTCTTACAACTTCTGTTTCCTCCCTCAAGGGTGCAGGGCACATTCTGCCTCACCCAGGACAGCACACCTGGCCTTGGTGTTTCAGTCTCTTGAGGTTGTTTAAGTAGGACAAGGCCTCTTGCTTATTTGAATCTGTGTTTTCTTCTTATTATAAACAAAGCAAATAATTACATAACAGTAGCTGGCTTATATCTCATGCTCATGAACCTTTTCACAGAAAGTGATTCTTTCCCCATTCTCCGATGCTTGTAATTTTATACAACTTGTTTACCTTACTTTTAATTTCTCTTTTGATACATTAGCACATGGAAATGTGTATAGAGATGCACTCAAGGCAATACTCCTGTGTGTGTTTCCTATTAATTTTAAGTGTAGGTCATTCCTTTCTGTCCTCAGTGATAAAACAAATGATTTTCTGCATTCTTACAGCTTCATTAATTTTTTTCCTTTGACTTACTTTTAAATTTACAAATACTAATTTTGCTTGCCTGGAAATAGAACTGAAATAAATTTCCACTTCCAAAATAGCTATGAATTATTTCTCGGTCTAATCAAGTAGTCCCACCTCCCCTTTCAAGTTTGTTGATATCCACTTACAATGTACAGGGTCTCCCGGAGCATCTACGAAAAATCCAGCAAAGACAGGATGCTTGCCCAAGAGCAAATGTGTGGAAGCATGCACACACCCACTTTCTCTCTGTCCTCACTTTGCTTATCTATTCATAGCAATTGCTACTAACTACCATGTGCCATTCTATGTCTGCTTGTTGGTTTATTTGCTCAATGAAAGAACCAAATCCATAAAATATAGACAGTGGGAGTCCTGAGTGGCCATTCAATTCAGTGCACACTTGAACCATCTTCTACTTTATAAAGCGTGACATTTGTTTTGACAAACATGATGCCCAATAAACATAACATGGAGTTTTGAAAAAGATACTGTAGCCTGGACTCCACACAGCTGGCAGGGGACAGCCTGGCTCCACACAGATGGCAGCCTGGATCCCTGAATCTTTCAAATTCCCCACTAATCCCAGTGTGCAAACAGATAGAAAACCACCAGTCTATAGGACTTACCTGTTGACTCACAAAAGCAATTTCATATTAGATATATTCTCTTCAGTGTTAATATAATATGAAAATATGAAATTAATATGTGCGCATCCATGAATACAAAGAGCAGTTACAAACTCAGTTACCCAATGCTATAAAGTTTTCTCTAGATTAAAGAAGTTCTCTTCCAAATTTATATGACCTGGTGGCATGGAATGAAGGTCAGATGCAAGGTGAGCAGTATCTTTGTCCCCCCAGGCAAGGGTGCACTTTCAGAATATCCTCTCGGGATGTCAGAGTGTTCATGTCCTGAGCTCCTGATTCTGTCACATCCCCTTTGAGGGCCTCGCCACAAGGAAACAGAAACACATTCCAGAAAAATACAGTTCATCCGAACACATGGATATTAAACTCCTTCAAGGCTTCCTAGTGAGGGACGTGAGTCTGGGAGAGGGAGAAACAGCCAAGCCCATGACAGTGAGTTTCACTGACTCACAGGTAAACACACCGACTCAATGGCACCCATTCATTAGCGAAACATAGCACTGAGAGATCCCGAACACCAGGCGCCTTGACAAAAGTTGCAATGCCCCCATGACGTTCTTTTTCCACGCTGAGAGCTAAAGATGAGCAAGGTAAGCATGCCAACTCTGACCTGGGCTATCATGATTTTTTTTCTTTAAACACAATCCTTTCTCTACGGTCTCTAATTCGTGTTTTACATCATCAGCAAAGAGGTGAAACAGCCAGGTGTAATTAATTGATCTTGGACACACCCATACACTTCTGCCCTAAAACAAAAGATGTGTGAAATTTGATTTTCCATCTGTAAGACTGAGAAAATCACCGCCAGCCGCCTCACAGTGCTTGAATAAAAATATCTGCTGCTATTATCTCCACACTCCCCAAGTGAGCCTGCTGAAGTGTGGATCCAAACACACAGACCATGTTCCCTGCCCTCTTCTCCTCCAGGACCCTTGCAATGTGATTCAATGTTTGGATTCCCCAGGAAGCTTGCCAGTCCAAGCCAACCTTACCTTGTGGTATCTCCATCCTTCCTGAACCAGCCACCACTTTCTGCAGAGGTCCCTGAGAGAAGGCTCCCTGCCTTTCCATCTTGTGTGCCTAGAGCAAGTGTTCTTAGTGTGTGTGTGCACTCGTGTGTGCGTGTGTGCATTCGTGCGTGCGTGAGTGTGTGTTCATGTGCTTGTGATAGGAGGATCACACTATCCCAAGGCCTACATAAATCAGCTCCCCCAGTCATTAATTGACATAACTGTGACTGCTGGGGCTTCTCACCTCTGGATGCCTTTTGATGAGACACAAAGATTTTGGAATCAGAAAAAATATTGTGACTCTCCAATCTATTGCTAGATGGGCATCCTTAGATAAATTCCTGAATCTCTCTACACCACCACCCCCATTTAATAATCCTGATGATACTACCTATTCTATCCTTTTCCTATGAGGATTACACAACTGGAATACAGCTGAAGAAAGGTTTTTTACATTGTCAGCAAGGGGTGAGCATTGAATAAGATAAACTGTCGCTGAATCCCAGCTCTTCACATCTCTCTGCAAAGGAACTATAAACCTGCAGTCTAATTATCCGTGTACACACCGCACACACACACACACACACACACACACACACACACACACACCGCTCACATCACATTGATTTTTGTTTTCAGGATCCTTGCCCCCTGGGAGTGGTGCCCCCTTTTCCCTTGCTCGGCAAACAATGGGCAAGGGGTATCAGAGCCTGTCCTTACCTCCAGAGAAGTGTCTCACGGGCAGGGCAGGTCGGTGGTCTCTGTGTCACTTACATTTGAGAAGCAGAATTAACACAGTAGGTGAGAAAGAGTGATCCCTCCAGGCCCACAACTGTGAAAACAGAAAGAGATGGGAGGCTGGGGGCATGCAGTGAGACCGTGCCAGGAGAGCTTGATTAAAGAGATCAGACAACCCTGAGGGCTATGGAAAAAATGCCCTGGGTGGGGAAGAACAGAATAGTAAGAAGAAAAGAAAAGCTAAGGCAGCAGGTGGGCACCGCCCAGGATGAAAGTCTCTCCAGGTCCGCAGTTGTGAGCTGGGGAACTGAAGTCTAGGGCCCTCCCAAAACTGAGCTGCTCTGCTCGGGAGCGCTCAAGTTTTCTGGTATGAGATGCCCTGCGCTCCCCGCTCCTGCTCCCTGCTGAAGCCTGTGCTGATTTCTCCACTCGCCCCGCTCACCTAGGAGCTCCCAAATTCCCAGAGCTAAAGCCCTAGCCTGTGTTGTGGGAAAGCCTTAGCCTGTGTTGTGGGAAAGCCCGCAGAGCGTCCCTGTCTCCGCGGACACCAGAAGGGGCACCGCCTCCACCTCCAGCTTCCCCAGACCTGCGCACTGCGCAGCTCCATTTTCTCTCTACTGGTATTAGAGTAGGTAGCCTGGGGAGCGGGCTGGGGTGGCCCATGCCTTTAATCCCAGCACGCTGGAGGTAGAGGCAGGTGGATCTCTGTGAGTTCGAGGTCAGCCAGAGTGAGTTTCAGGAAAGCCTGAGCTATTACACAGAGAAATTCAGCTTCCTAAAAGCAAAACCAAAAAATAAAGAAAAAAAATCTCTACCTGAGCACACCACACCACACCCTTCTGACAGAGGGCGCTAAGAACCCAGGACTCCTGCACTAAGGAAGGATGAGGGATGGAGAAAAAAGAGAGAGGAGGCTCTTGGAGGAGAGTCTTGGAACTGGGATTGACATGTGAAGCAAGCTATTTAAAATTAAAGTAATAATAATAATAAAAAAGACTGCCAGGCTCCCAAGCTCCCAGGCTCCCAGAGCTAACAGAACACCAGTAGCAGCCCAGGATGTCCAGTCTCCTGAATGAGTAGGAATGGTGAAAATTTAAGTTGGTCAAAAGAAAAGGAAGATAAAGAATATTTCTAGATTTTTATAACAAGCTAGAACTCTTCAAACATGCACGGAGAGGAATCTCATGGAGTCAATGACACAATTATTTTTGCCCAATCAAAAATAATTCACTATATAATAAAAGGAAAAGCATAACTTTGCTTGGCTAAATGGAAAAACAAGTGTTAAACAAACTCCAACACTCCTACAACACACAAATTTGACATAGAGAGGATCATTATTCCCTGCCTAATCTAATAAAGAATTTTTCAAGTAGTCGAATGAAGAAATGTTTTCTTTCCCTGTGACTAGTAACCAGAATGGTGTCCGCTTTCACCTGCACAAGCACTTTGGGGAAAACATTTAAAAGTATAAGGATAGGGAAGAATAAAATGGAAGTACTGGCTTCCACAGGACATATTTCATAAGTGGGTGGTCCTTTGAACCTATCAAAACAATAAAATAAAACTGCTATCATCAGTTACAGGTTCACTACAGAAAAAGCAATTATAGGTTTGTATAGCTGATAGAATTGAGGCAGGAAATCTGGTGAGGCAGCCAGTTACAGTAGCACGAGACAGCAGCCTTAGTCCTTCCAAAGATTCATGGTGTGTACTTGGGCAACTGAAGAGCATCCAGATGGAGATGTAGGCCAAGCACATGGATTGAAAGGCGTTTCTGACTGGTTATGTACCTCGACTCATGGTTCAATGCTGTGGAATGATCCTTCTGTAATACTGTGGAGATGTATTGCTCTCATTGTTAATAAAGAGCTGACTGGTCAATAGCTAGGCAGGAGTTTCAGGGCAGAGAGAATGGTGGGAAGAAAATCATAGTGTCAAGCAGTCCCAAGGAGATGGACTTTCAGTACTGAGATAAGGTTCTGAGCCACATGGTAGAACATAGAAACATGGGTGAATTAAGGTTGTCAGAGCTAGCTAGTAACAAGCCTAAGCTTGTTATAAGCATTTATAATAAATGATAAGTCTCAGTGTGATTGTTTGGGAGTCAGCTATAGGGACAGAGCTGGTTGCCTAGACACAGAGACACTCCATCTAAAGTTCAATTGGTAGAGAATAATACATTAGATTCTATGTTATGGGTTCTATATACATTAATATTCAAATCTTGAGTTGAATTTTCTAGGAAACTAAGAATATGTCTCTAAAATGTATATATTAAAATGCAAATAGTTTTAAATTGTCATAATAATCTTGAAAAGTATCTAGTAACAACTTCCTTGGGTCATTTTAGACAGCAGGGATAATGAATCACCTATCCAAAGGGATGAGACTGGAGATTGTTATTTTTAGAGGTCTTTATGAAATCACAGAATACAGTCAACTTCACATGGTACACAATGAGGTTTCATCATTCCAAACAATAATATTTACTGAACTGTTTCTGAAGTTCAAATTCTTCTATTTCTATTAGAAAAAGAACCCAGTACAGTATTAAATTTCATCTGACCTAAGAAAACTTGTATTTGAGTTTGTTAAGGAACTTACAGAAACAGAGCTAGTTACCCAAAGCAAGAATTCCTTCCTGATCCCACATTCTGCTGTGAGAACCAGTTATATACAAAGCATGCTTTTCATGGGTCAGCTTTTGGCAATTCGATGGAAGTAGGTAATGCTACAGTAAGAACACAACAATCCACTACAGTGGGGCAAGTGGATTTAGCAAAGACAATCACAGGATGGATGCACTGGTAAATTTGAATTCCAGATCATCTTCATCTAGACCTTCAGCCTTTAAACTGAACTTTAGGGAATGTAATGACAAGCCAACTTAAGGCTGCAGATTAAGGGCACAGGGTCCTTAGAAAGATGAGCTACTCTACATCCTTTACACAGACTTCTGGGTATATGATCACTCTTCAGTCAGGACTCTGAAATATATGTTGACTGTGAGTTCAAGATTGCTCTCCATTTCAAGAGTTTATTCATTCTGTTTCCATTGTCATTTCAGTGTGGCATTGCCATCATGTAGTGAGTAAGCCAAGCAGGGCTCACCAGCAAAACTCCAGGTGCCAGTAAGATACAACTCTTGGCTCTGGATTCACTCCTGGGTGTCTATGGCCCTAAAGTGTGTGTATGTTCTCCTGAAGAAGACAGTCCAGAGGACCTTTGATGGCAGATTGTCTGTTCTGTCCAAATTTCCTACACATATCATAAAAGCATCACAGAAAGTAAGTTGTCTTGCGGTGACCAGCATATTTGAGTCAGTAGTCAAAGATATGATTGTGTGGTGTGGGACAGCAGACTTGTTTCTCTGGTGGCTGCTTTAGCTAGAGTCTGCACCACAAACTGAGATGGGGTATGCTGAACATCTGTAACTGCTAAAGAAGCTCAGTGACATGCCACAGAGTTTCACTATGGTGATAGATAGGAAAAATGCAAAGTCAGTGTTGTACAATCCCAGCTATATAAATTATATATATATATGCATCTTAATTTTATTTAAAATACAAACTTGCTTGCCAAAATTAATCTTAAGATGGCAGGGTTATGACTGCTTTTTATTATGTTTTCTTTCACATTTCCTGTTTTCAAATATACCTTTACTACTTTTTTAGTGAGAATACATTTCTAAAGAGAATAAAAAAATAAATGAAAGACATTTAAAATAGAAAAAAAGCTTTATTGGAATGGCAATTTGGATAAGGTATTTGAAAAATTTGAGGGTATTGACATGACAAAACTGGGTAACTGCCAAGTAAAATAATAAAGAAATTCGTGCTGGGAATGTTATTTACTACCGGTGTGCTGCCTCTGGGCATGAGGATGCTCTTAGAAATGAATCAGATTTTATTCTAGAAGCACCAGCTTGATAGCCAGAAAGTAGATTCTTGATGAGGGTTAAAAGGAAAGAAGAGAGAAGTGAAAGAGAACAAAAGGCACAGGGAGGTTCTTGTGCCACAAAGGGATGAAATGGGCAAAGGAGAGCACAGAGAAGGGAGGTGTGGCCCCACCCACGAGCAGGAAAACAAGCTAGAGTAGCTGGTTAGCTAGGGCCAGAGGCTGCTACCCTTGACATCCCAAGTCTTCACAGGTCCACTCCATCACAGGTGTGCTGATGGAACACATCCAGTTCTGGGTGGTCAGATCCACGACTTAAAAGTGTTTCAGGTCCAAGCATGCCTTGTCACTCAAAGGAGTCGCACCAGATGCCATCTTGGGGAGTCTGTTTGGCACTGGCATTTGGTACCTCACATGCTTCCAGAATTTGGAGCTTAGAGACTGCTTGTTGGCCACACGGTCTTCCCTCCACTTGATGGTCCCCTGCATTTTCACAAGATGCTGGAGAGATTCTTGAAGGTCTCCAACCTGCAGTCGGCTGGCCCCACCCAGAGGCTCCATTTCAATAAGAATCACCTTGGAGTTGTTCTGGATGAGGGCACTGTGCAGGGCAATCTCCTGTTCATAAGCAAACGCCTTGCTGTGCATCATGCGAGGGGCCAGGACAAATATGTGTCTTCTGCTGTTCTGGATGCTGCTTTCCACCATGATGACTGCATCTAGAGTCAGGAGATGGATAGAGATCAACTGTCATTTCTTTTGTACATTTCATGTTTGAATCAAGGATGTCCAGACATTTAAAAGTTCTTACTGTAGTCTATTGGGAGATTCTGAGCTGATAGAGTCATATCCAGAAATTAGAAATGGTGTTACTGTTTTGAGTTACAAAAATATCTGCCCAAGGGGCCTTCAGTTTAGCTAGATAAATCAATGCTAATGAAGAGTCCTCCCAGCCACCCAGAAAAGTGAAGGTCTCTTCATTGAAATTTAATTCTTGGTCTGTTATCTTTTTAGGGTGGCTATTGACATGTCTATCAGATGGTCAACATTTTAATTCATACACCGAAGGGTGCAAGCTCAACAAGCATTGATCCTCCCAACTCTCCAGTGTTACAAGAGAAGTCCTGGGTCACTTTACCCCACAATGATCTCTGTTTGGAGAGCTGATTCAATCCATGCTTTAAAAAAATAATGCTAAAAAAGTCGTATCTCCTTTCAAAGTCAACCTGTGTACCTGGGTCAAGGCCACGGTGATGCAGTTAGCTCTGAGTGGACTTAGGAAAAAAATATGTCCCACCAAGCACTCACTGCAGAAGGTAAAAGTACATGAAAGAAATGAAACCATGAGCAGCTCAAGATCTTCATAGAGAACAGTGGTTACTTCTAATCGGTTGGAATGAGAAAATTATGTGAAATGGTGACCGATGGTCCTGTGTGCTGGTTGGGATCTTTGCTCCTGGATGGAAGGGGATGTGGAGTGGACATCAGGGGAGAGTGGAATACAGCTAGCAAGAACATAAGCACAGTGTACTTGCCAGCTACCAGATTTCTCTAAGTGAAGAGCAGTGTTCTGTTGGCTTTGCTGTACCTGGGTAGAGGAAAGATCAGGGTTGATGCACTGAGGGAGGAGAAGTGGAAACCATCCACAAGACAGTGCTGCCACCTAACAAAGACAATGCAAGCATCTAAGCATCTGTTCTTGGCTGACACGGAGGTGTCAATAGAAATTAGCTGAATCCCGGAGCAGTGGTGACACATGCCTTTAATCCCAGGACTTGGGAGGCAGATGCAGGTGGATCTCTGTGAGTTCCAGGCCAGCCTGGTCTACAGAACTACACAGAGAAACCCTGTCTCGAAAAGCCAAAAAAAAATTAGTTGGATGAAATGGTAGAAAAGAGATGAAGATCTGGCAACTGGGTATACCCTCAGAAACAAGTGGAATTCCTTCAGATCCTTGAACAGATTTGAGACACAGAAAGAATGCTAGTGACTATTGCCCACTCTTTTCTACCCATACAGCCATCTGTGGGAGAGCTGGAAAAGCAGGGAGGGCCCCTAAGAAGACTAAGATTGCATCCTCCTAACTTGTACATCTTCAGGTCTTCCATAACAGTGTCAGCATTGACCAGATGTTTGAGAAGAAACCAGATTGTCCTGTGTGCATGCCTGTTAATCTATTGGTACTTAAATCCCTCTCCTTTAGTTGACACATTCATTTACAAAGTTAGAGTAAATATGAACTTCACTAGGTATATGCTTATGATATTCTGTCCCCATTCTCATTCTAAATTGTTGTTGGCCTCCGAGGAATGGAAGAAAAGTTGACAGGGAAAGTTAGAAAACTCTTGACCTAAACATATAGAGGGCAGGGGAAAAAAGTCTATTGGAATGACTGGAGTTGTGATGAAACCGTCAAAAGTACATGAGAACGGCTAAGAATGCTATGAAACAGAAGCCACTGTTCTGCTGCCCTAAGACTACAAAGTTGCAAACTGTTTCAATCGTTTGAGGAAAATCAGGAGGACTCCATCAGCTCTTTCAAATATCTTCACTATGGGCTCTGAATACCAGAGTCAAAATCTTTTTTTTCGATTTTCTGTTTGGTGTCCTAGAGAGAGTAAGACGTTTCAGAGATGGTTCTGCCCAATTGTAAAAGATTGTGACCTCTTACTCTATAACTCTCGAGATTCCAGATCCTTCCTGCCACAGATCTGCCATCTAGCCCTTGGGACACAGAAGCACAGATGGAGACAATTACAGCTAACAACAACTGATCAAAAAGCAGACAGCAAGCATTGTGGAGTGCCAAGCCACAGCTGGGAATCTACAACAGAACTTCTTCACCTAAGGCTCAAGGGATATCTGGGAAGAGGGGGCAGAAAGATTGTTAAAAGCCAGAAAACAAAGTCAACTGCTGTGAGGTTGTGTCTTCTAGAAATGACAGGGCAGTTTCATTAGTGATACCTAAACAATATGGCTGCCTAAAGAAGACCTGAAAATATACAACACCACTAGGTATATTAGCATAAGAAGGGGAAATCTCACAGGGACCCAGCCATGGACAAAGCAAACAAACAAAACTTTATAGAAAACTAATGAATAGTGAAAGTAGAAGAGTTCCTTGGGATGAGCCCTCTAATTGATTATATAATATCAAGTGATTGGCAGCCCCCACCACGGGCTGACTTCCTTCCTCTATTTCTTTCTGGGATCTACTGGCCTGGGGACTGCAGCCAGGTCAACTCACCCCCGGACGATCAAGCAACCAGGAGCCTGCTGAGAGTGCTGGTCTACTCCCACCCCCACTCAGGGTAGAGGAGAGGGAGTGCCTTATACCCACCTGTACCCACTGTGAGACCCATCAGAGTATTGGACCTGCTTGCACCCACCAGAAGAGAACCTTGGACCCGTACCTACCAGGAAACGAAGAGACCCTACTAGCACCCACTGGAGGAAGAGATGGGAAGACTACAATATAAGAACACATTCAACAATAAAAAACCAATATGATGCCACCAGAGTCTAGTAGCAGCAAGACCACAATATCTCAACACAGATGAAGCAGAAGAGAACAACCTTAAAAACAACTTCATGGCCAGCGAGCCCAGCTTCAGGTGAGATTGGGTCTCTGGCTGGGACCACCCGCCCATCACCCATCCGCCTCCATCTTCGGGGCCGCTCCCGGCTTCCAGAAGAGCCGCCCACACAGGAAAGAGATCAGCCCCTCCAAGACCCCAACCCAGCGAGCCCAGCTTCAGGTGAGATTGGGTCCCCGGCTGGGACCACCCGCCCATCACCCATCCCCCTCCATCTTCGGGGCCGCTTCCGGCTTCCAGAAGAACCGCCCACACAGGCCCCTCCAAGACCCCAACCCAGCGAGCCCAGCTTCAGGTGAGATTGGGTCCCCGGCTGGGACCACCCGCCCATCACCCATCCCCCCCATCTTCGGGGCCGCTCCCGGCTTCCAGAAGAGCCGCCCACACAGGAAAGAGATCAGCCCCTCCAAGACTCCAACCCAGCGAGCCCAGCTTCAGAAGAGCCGCCCACACAGGAAAGAGATCAGCCCCTCCAAGACCCCAACCCAGCGAGCCCAGCTTCAGGTGAGATTGGGTCTCTGGCTGGGACCACCCGCCCATCACCCATCTGCCTCCATCTTCAGGGCCGCTCACGGCTTCCAGAAGAACCGCCCACACAGGCCCCTCCAAGACCCCAACCCAGCGAGCCCAGCTTCAGGTGAGATTGGGTCCCCGGCTGGGACCACCCGCCCATCACCCATCCCCTCCATCTTCGGGGCCGCTCCCGGCTTCCAGAAGAGCCGCCCACACAGGAAAGAGATCAGCCCCTCCAAGACCCCAACCCAGCGAGCCCAGCTTCAGGTGAGATTGGGTCCCCGGCTGGGACCACCCGCCCATCACCCATCCCCCTCCATCTTCGGGGCCGCTCCCGGCTTCCAGAAGAGCCGCCCACACAGGAAAGAGATCAGCCCCTCCAAGACTCCAACCCAGCGAGCCCAGCTTCAGAAGAGCCGCCCACACAGGAAAGAGATCAGCCCCTCCAAGACCCCAACCCAGCGAGCCCAGCTTCAGGAAAGAGATCAGCCCCTTCAAGACCCCAACCCCAGCGAGGCTAGCTTCAGCTTCAGCTGCAGTAAGGAAGGAGACCAGTGGAAACAGAAAGCCCCCACCAGCACCCACTGGAAGAAGAGATGGGAAGAAGACAGAATAAGAGATCACTCAGCAATAGAAACACCAACACGACCCCACCAGAATCCAGGGATCCAACACCAGCAAGACCTGAAAAGCACTACATAGATGAAGAAGAGGAGACAGACCTTAAAAATTATTTCATGAAGATGATGGAGACCCTCAAAGAAGAAACGAGGAAATCCCTTAAAGAAATAGAAGAAAAAACAAACAAAAAAATCCATGAAATGGGGGAAAAAATTCAAGAAATAAACAAATCTCTCAAAGAATCTAAAGAGCACCAAGAAAAAACAACCAAGAAAATTAAGGAAACAGCTCAAACAGTTGAAGGATTGAAAGCTGAAATAGAAACGATAAAGAAAACACAGAATGAAGGGATGCTGGAAATAGAAAAGCTCGGTAAACGGTCTGGAATTACAGATGCAAGCATCACCAATAGAATACAAGAGATAGAAGAGAGAATCTCAGGTGTTGAAGACTCATTAGAGGACATAGCATCGTCAACCAAAGAAAATCTCAAAACCAACAAATCCTTAACACAAAATATTCAGGAAATATGGGACACCGTGAAGAAGCCAAACCTGAGAATAATAGGTATAGAAGAAGGTGAAGAACTTCAACTTAAAGGTACAGAAAACATATTCAACAAAATCATAGAAGAAAACTTCCCTAACCTAAAGAAAGATATGCCTATGAAAGTACAAGAATCTTACAGAACACCAAATAGGCTTGACCAGAAAAAGAAGTCACCTCGCCATATAATAATCAAAACATCAAACCTACAGAGCAAAGAGAAAATATTAAGAGCAGCTAAAGAAAAAGGCCAAGTAACATATAAAGGCAGACCTATCCGAATTACACCTGACTTCTCAATGGAAACGATGAAAGCCAGAAGATCCTGGTCAGATGTCCTACAAACGCTAAGGGAACAAGGATGCCAGCCCAGACTACTATATCCAGCAAAGCTCTCAATTACCATAGATGGAGAAAACAAAATATTCCATGACAAAGCCAGA